ATGTCCAGGTTTCCCAGTCACCTCTCAAACAGCTGAGGACAGCCTTATATGTCGGGATTGGCTGAAGGGCAAGGAAAGGTTCCCTAAGTAAAAACGCCCGTCCCCCTGATGTCCCTCTGAGAGACGTCTCCGCTGGCTCAGAAGCCTACCCACAGGTGGGAGCAGGCAGCCACCAAAGGGTGGAGGGGCTGCCCAGGGAGAGGGGAAGTGACGAGGACGAGCCCAGCCCAGACTACTGCCACCCGCAGTCAGCCCGCCACACGACTGTCAACTGTTGCTGGTGTGACAATTTACTCACAGCCTCAAATCCCATTGGTACTACAGCCCTCTGTGTCCAGGAGCGAAAATTAGAGTCTTTCTGAAGCAATGGCCAATCCTGAGGCCTTTCCTCGAAGGCCTGGGCCTCTGTGACTCCAGCCAGCGAGCTTCCTGGCTTTGCCACCACAGTCGGTGGCTACACAGTGAGTCACGAGGAGAAGGCGCGGGCCAGGTCAGGAGGACAGGCAGAGGAGCTGCCACCCAGGAAGACGTGAACAGGTCATGTTCAGGGAGCCCACCTATCATTCAGGGAGTGCGAAGCCATGCAGGTGGCAGGAGATGTGACAGGGGGCATACCCTGAAAGTCTGTGGTTGGGCTAAAGAGACGGTTAGATGCAAGAGGCCTCGGGGACTGCCCGTGGTGTTTCCTGTCCAAGGCTCATGTCACCCCGGCTGCCTAGGGACCCAAGAGCACTTCCTGTCCTCCCGGTTCGCCTCCTTGACTTCCGGTCACCGTGCTGGAGGCCGTGGTGTGCTTCTTCTCCGTCTGGTCCATCGTCGGGCTCTCCGGGTTCCACACGTACCTGATCAGCTCCAACCAGACGACGAATGAGGATGTGAGTTCCTGGTGGCGTGTTCTTTTATGGCCAGCAACCTGGGGGAAAGGGACAAAAGAGATTAGGGGCCGAGATCCCCCCTGCACATCCTACTGCAGATGGGAGCCCTTGGGGACAAAGAATGTGCAGTGGGAGCATTTTCGTCTGTCATTGTCCAGTTTCTCTGTTGGAAATCTCTTACTTTCTGACCACGTCACTTAGATACCAGGAGTGGCCACGCGGCACCCAGTTCCAACCCCGGGGAGGAGATCCTGTTCTATTCCTGTGCCAGAGTTTCATGAGCAGCTCATCACCCCTCCGCTGTGGAGAGACCAGGGCAGGCTGGCATCTCGGAGGGAACATATAAGTCTGCCTTTCACAGCTAGTGTCTCGTTTTTGTTGTTGGAGATTGCCTAGACCCAGAGTTTAGTTAACCTTTTGTCCAGGATCCCATGCCTCTACTTACCACAAATGGAGAGGAGGTATAAAAACAGGAAGCGTGATGTTGGAAAACGCTTCTTCATAAGCCTGGCCCTCTTTGCTCTGAATATTTAGGTTCTGACACAGTCTCCATCGGTATATGAATTCAATGTCTCAGAATCACTCCGGGTGCTTTAAAGGCTTGAGCAAACCAGTGCCGATGAAATACGTGGGTTAAGAGAATATTAACACACTGTTTTGTATCTGGTAACTATGAACGTTAGAATCTGTGAAATTATTTTGGCAACACTATGAGGCTGAATTCGGATGGGTTAAAATTGGCAATTAGGAAAGCCACATTAACTCTATTGGCTGCCATTCATTTAGTTACTAATTAACTCTTTCAGCCGCCATTCATTTAGTTACTATTTAGCGCACTAAATGAGTAAGAAAAAAAATTCTCCACTGGCGTGTATGAGCTGGTCCTTTAGTACCATGTCGTAGAAATGAGAGATTTTCATCCACAAAGTTACTTTCTCCCTAATCAGACCCACTATTTGGGGATATTTCCAAGTTTGGGGTTCCTTGACAAAATTATCTCCATTTCTCCTGCTAAAGAAATGAGCAAAGATGATTCGGGGTCTCATTCGCTTCAGCTGTGGCGTTGGTATGGAGGACAGTGTGTTACAACTATCCTTTTCTTTCAGATTAAAGGATCTTGGTCAAATAAAAGAGGTAAAGAAAATTACAACCCCTACAGCTACGGAAATATCTTTACGAATTGCTGTGTTGCCCTGTGTGGGCCCATCTCTCCAAGGTAAGATTCAGAAAGCATCGTGCTCTTCACTAGATCTCAGGAAAGCAGACATCTTACCTGCGTGAGCACAGGCTTCACCACGTAGAGACCCGGCCACTGCTGGTGGATTCGGTCACACTGCTCAGATGACCGCCAGGTCAGCATCCCACTTGGTGACACAGAGACACGGCCTTAGTGAAATAGAGGTCATGGAGATCTGGCTGGCTGTTGTATTATGTTTGGCACCTTTTTGTACTTCCTGAATTTGTTTCAAGTTCAGAGGAAAATCCCCTAAGGGACAAATAGGGAAACTGAGACACATTGAATGATGTTGAGTGTTAGTGGTGAGCAGGGAGCCATGGTTATCATAGTAAGGGAGTCAGGACATGATGTAGGACACAGTTAGAAATAACTGCTAAAAGCTGAGTTGTATAGGATGTAAATGCTAAAATAGTTCAGGAGAGATCTGTGTGGCCCGAAGCAGTTGAGGTCGTGGTGATGATAACACAATGATATTAATAATGGCAGGAGCTGCCATGTATTGAACAGTGTTAGGCTCTGCTCTAAGTGCCTTATACGTGTTAACTTTTAGAACCTCACTCTGTGCCTGTGAGGCAGGTGCTATTATATCTCATTTTATGGATGAGAAAACTGAGGCTCAGAGAGGTTAGATAACATGCCCAGGATCACACAGCGAGTCAGTGCTACCTCGTCAGGACTCACACGCAGGCCTCTGGCATCAGGACCAGCGTGTGTGTCGACTGGGGCTCGCTGCCTCCGTGTCAGAATCGTACGAGTCCACAGTAGCGTCTTACCCAGGAAGAACGTGTTTCCAACACACAGATCCGTCATCCAAAATATTTATTGAGTGAGTATTCCAGGTCTCTAGAGTGAGTTTCCAAGCCTTTACCACTTCCTTCCTTTTGGTCTCTAATGTGAAAAATGAAGAGAGACCACAGAAGGCGCGAGAATTGCCTCTGAGCAGCTCCACCGTGCGCTCAGAACCTCCGTGGCCAAGGTCGCTGGTACGTGCTCTGTGCGCCCAGAACCTCCGTGGCCAAAGTCGCTGGTATGTGCTCTTGGAATGCAAATTTCAGCCTCAGCGAAATATTGTTAGGGAAGCAAGAGCGATGCCCCCCAAAAAGAAGAAAAAACCCAAGCTTGTATTCCAAGGCCATTTGTTGATCGGTACTGGTTTATTGTTATTGGTGCTATTCATTGGATCATTTTCTAGTTTGGGCCTAGAAAGTTGAGACCCCAGAGTGTCACCCTCCTCCTGAATTAGATGTCCTCGGGAGCCGCCTCTGAGTTGGGGCTGGCACGAAAGGGCAGCCAAGGACTCTGGCTGGGGGTGCCACCTCAGCCTGGGGTCAGGCGTGCCTGGATGGTGCCAGCCCCTCTCCAAGAGACCCCAGACTCACCCAGGAGCCCCTGTTGGGGCTCTTTGGGCCAGACGAGCCCATGGGAAGTGCTTGGATTTTCAAAGTTGAGCTCGTGTTTCCTGTCGGTGTGTTAATCTGTGGACGGTCGGGGCAGGCGATGGCACAAAGGCCGGGGCCTCGGAGTGTAAGAGGCGGGTGACACCCGAGCGAGCATCGCTCCCCATTTGTAAAACATACGCCTGAAACCCGGGGAAAGAACCGAAACGTCTCCCGTGTTGTCCACATTGCATTTCTTGCTCCCAGGTCTTTGATTTGGTGCCGCTTTGCATTGTTTTGTCCCAACCAACAAATTATTTCTGCTACGACTGGATTAAATTTGCTCTTTTGGCGGAGATGGGGCTGTATTCTTTCCAGTGCTCAATTCCCTGTGGATGGGGTGCTTCTCGAGGATGCCCCAACCTGGGAACCCCTTGGCTCACCCAAGAGTTTGCACAGGGACAGTGAGCCGCTGGCCACAGGCCTCCCAGAGCCAGCCAGGCCGAAGCACAGGGGATGATGTTCGTCTTGATCCTCCCTCCCGCCACCTTCTCTCTCCTCTCTCTGCCCTACCTCTCCCAGCTTGTCTGCCCTTAAGAAGCCCAGGGACTTCCACGGGCATCCCAGCCAGCCCCCTCCCCACTGAGCAGTGTCCCCTGCCTCGGACAGGGCCTGAGAACCACCTCTGTGCCCAGAATTGTGCTCTTGAGTTGCCTCTAAAACATTCTTAAATAGTGTAGTGATGTGCTCATGAGAGAGAGAGAGAGAGAGAGAGAGGGAGGGAGAATGAGCCACAGCGAGCATGCATGTGTGTGTGTATCGTCCCGTTTCCCAGTGAGAACTGTGGACCCACATTCAGTTCTGTACACAGTGTCTCCAGGGGTGTGGGGACAGCAGAGTGGGAATGGCCAGGTTTGGGGGAAGGGGGATCCTCATACAGGCCTGGCAGGAGGAATAGAAAATTGGAAAGACAGGAAGTCCCAAGATATAGCCAGGATCAGGCTCTACAGGGCGACGCCGTGAGCCGGCCAGGCATGAGCATTCCCTTGGCCCCTGCTGCTGAGCACGCGCCGTGTGGCAAACTCTGTGCTGGGTGCCAGGGACGCGTGTGAAGAGTGTGCAGCTTCGTGGGTGACACAGACCCATCAGTAGCGAATGTTCACAGCGATGGTGGGTCTGTGATGGAGGGCGGGGTGCAAGCTCCAGGGGGTGGGCATCCCAGAGGAGGGGGCTCTAAGTGAAATGTCCTAAAGGGTGGGGAGGGATTGGGAGAAAGGCATTGTGGGAGGACAGGCAGAAGAAAGAGCACGAAGAAAGGCTTAGAGGCGAGTCTGGCTTGTCAGAGGAGGAACTGAAGGGTTCATGGGTGGGAGTGAGGCGGGCAGGGAGGGAGAGGCAAGAGAGGAGATGAGGGGTGTGTGGCCAGATCAGGAGGCACTCGTGGACCATGGTGAGGACGAGAAGGGGACCTGTGGCAGAATGTCACAGTCTTGGGTGGTACATTAAACGGGCCGAATGCATCAGAAGCCGGCGACTTTGTTCTTTCCCCTGCTGTCCCTTCAGACTGTCTTGTGGCCTAGTTCTTTGTCTGCTCCTGGATGAAATTCCCTGCAAGTCCCTTAATTCCTCCTGTCACTTAAGGGAAGAGAAAGAAAAAAGGACGCGGGGCACTTTCATTTCCTCCAAAACGGTGTCATTTCAGCGAATCAGAACTTGGAACTTCTTTGAAGGTTAACACTTTACATCCCGTCATGCCTCCCGGGGTAGGGAGTTCAGTGTATCTTTTGGGGGATACAATCGAACCCCCAAAATGCCCCCACTGAGCCAAGTCCGCACTGGCTCTCCCCCAGGACGCCCGCGTCTGGCCCCTCACCCTCCCCTCCCCGGCCCCCAGTCCCAGCCCCCTCTTCCTCGGCAGGGCACAGGGGACTCCTTTGTCTCCGACACCCTTCTTTGCTCTTTTTACCTCCGATCTTCTATGCCTTCGCAGCGGGGTGGGGGGGTTTGCACACTTGTCTGACGGTCCTGCATTCAGGGGCGGGGGGTCCAGCGCCTCGTGTGGCAGACGGAGTTTTTTTGTTGCCTCTTGTCTTTTTTTAAACCTGTGGGGATTTAAACCTGTGTGAAACTGAAGCAGAGAGCGTTCCATTTCGAGATGCTGTCACAAGTATTTGCTGACGGCTTGTTCTTCTGTCACTTGGAGACCTGGAGGTAGGAGTTGCGAGGATAACTCCCGTCTTCTCGAGCTGACAAGCGGGAGCAGCCTCCAGCAGCCCAGCCCTCCACCCACCCTTAGGAGGAGGGTGTGGGGTGCACCCCGGGCCCTTCGCGGAAGCTTACGGAGTGTGTGTGGCCCAAGGCCCCACACGGGGGTCCGGGGGGCACAGCGGCAGGCCCACATATTAGCCGAACCTCCCGTTGTGGAAGCAAGGGACCTGGGGACACCGCGCGTGTGACACGAAGACGTGGGCTTGAGGCTGGAGAGGGAAGCGGGGGACGGCATGCGAGGCCTGAGGGCCGAGAGCAGGGGCCTGGACCTTGTTCGCAGTGGCGGCGCACCCTGAAAGCTGTGCCAGCGGGAGGGGTCACACGATGGGGATGAGGTGCTGGGAAAAACGCTGCCGGCCAC